TGAGAGGAGAGATGACGTTATGAGAGGGGACGTTTCACCAGAAACCCTTCATTACACATATCCCACTCCAGAGAAATATACTGGGGTCATACAGGGTGTAATGGTAACGTCATTAATTGTTTGACTGAGTACCATCCCCTGCTGTGCTTGGTTTCTATTCTCCTTCTTAACGTTGAGTTTCCTAGTGTACATTTATTAAGCTCAGCATACTGTAAATTAGGAGAACAAGCATTGTGGATTTGAGAAGCCGTTCCTGTTATTAAAACAGCCCAGAGTCTCTCTTGAGGATGACACACTCAACCGTCAAAAAGTTTCAAGCCTCTCCCTTCCATTGTTGCCAGGTTGGTTCCAGTAATATTTATTTATATTTAATATTTAATATTTATTACTGGAACCAACTATTACAACTATTACTAATAAATTATTTTTCAAAGTTTCAGGACGAACTAGAATGATTATAGAAAATTCTCAGATGTACAAGGAAGTGTATTCACGTCTTCCCAGTCTGTTCTTTTTCTTTTCATGTTTAATTATATGTTTGACATCTACAAATGATACATTTTGTCCAACCAATAATCAAACATTTAAATTATAAAAAAAAGCCATTCAATTTACTCTCATAAGAGAAAAATAATGGGTTAACCAGCTGTTGATTTCTGTGCTTGAATCAGTGTTTGATTGATTGTAATTGATTGTAACTTTAATTAAATTTGACAAGGCACCAAAAATAATTTCAGCTACCTTTGTGACAACCATTGTTAAATAAATGAATGTGTCTGATAGGGAGTTAGCTGCACTGTTGGAAATGTCTGGGCTCGGCAGCCATTTGGTACGACTGAAGAGCAGCAGGCGAGCAGACAAGTTATTCATTAAAATACATTATGCGCCAATATGACTATATCTAGATATACTATTATCCCATTTAGTGTTTTTCCGAAGTGGGTTTAATCCTGCTGTTTCCCAAGATGCATAACTTTCCTTCTCCTTCTACTGATATTCAATAAGCTAATCTCCACACTTTACACGTTCACACCAGGAATCACATTCTGTCAAGTACAGGCTTGCAAAGTGTCGAGCAACTTCCGATACATTTCCAGAAAAACTCCAAGCGATGTTAAGCTCTGGAAATTTTGGGAATTTTTCAACAATTAATGCCCATTTGACCGGATTGTATCAATGCACTCCATTCAACACCCATTATTGCAACACATGAAGATACAGTTGGCAAGCATCCCATAAACTAATAATTCAGGAGAATAACAACCCTCTGCACGCACAGTGTGTTTACATGTGCAGCTAACACTTAATGCACGAGCCAAAGAAATACAAGCTTTCATCCTAGTTTCAGAAGTACAAAGTGTATATCTTGTGCTAGATTTAGCTAGCTAGCTATTAGCATGTGGCTGGATTGGGAACGCTAATGGAAGAGTTGTAATTCATCTATTACGATTCATTTTATTGATCCTAAAACTTTTCTTTTATCATTTAGTTTTTCACTTTAAACCATAATGTTGTACACAGCCCACAATTTTTCCCTCGATTATATAAAATTATCTTTCCCTTTAGTTAACTTTAGCTAACTCACCACATTAATAATAATACCTTGTTTTGATAGCGCTTTTCCTGGTGCTCAAAGAGGCTTTACAAGGAATTCAGGATCCTAGGCATTCCTTTCGAGATGGTGGCTCAAATTTCAACCATTACTCAAATCGAGCATTATATTGTAGTTTTATTCATGAGTATAAAATGTATTGGTATGTGAGAGTGTGTAAAGTACTTGGTGTGAACGCGCCTAATAATAGGCCTATGCGCGGGCCAGCAGAAACTTTCATTCACTTAAAGGGGACCTATCATGCAAAATGCACTTTTGTACGTCTTTTATACATGAATATGTGTCCCCGGTGTTCCAGGGAACTCACCAAGTGTCAGAAAACACAACCCTCTCTATTTTCCTCCATACCCAAATCTCTAAAAAAGGGGCTGCAACGGATCTGATAAAAACTGATCCAGATTTGAACACTGTCCTGACGTCAGGACAGTGGCGCTACGGCTATTGGGCCAACTCCACCAATCAGGAGGAGACAGCCACGGCCATTGCCGTTCGAAAGCGCTGGAGACGCTGTAGTACATATACCAGGCCTGTAGATGGTGCTGTTCTCACAGAATCTGCCCTTGCAAAAACAGAGCTAAACATTTTCAAATTGAGCAAAATGAGGCATGGCTAAAATGCATGATCTGTTTGGTATTTTGAAAAAAAAAAAAGTATAAATATGCCTTATATAGGTATGGTCCTATACTATATTATTCAAATATAGCATGATAGGTCCACTTTAAAATTAAATTCCATTCGATGTTCAGCCATTAATGCAAATATACAGAAGTGATGGTGACTATGGGCAGGAAGTCAGAAATCAAAACGTTGCTTGTCCGACATGTTGTAATTTATGTCATCTCCTCGCGTCACCGACTCAATTTTTATTCTTTTACCCTTTGCGTCACATTCCCAAAGTGGAAACAGAAGCTCATCTTTGACACATTCACTCATTTCAGGATAAATGCTTTTTTAATTAGCATGTCACTCAGGCAGCTCAATAGCATGTATATGTGCGTGCATGAAGATGTGAGTGAACGTCAGACAGGAAACGGCAGACAAAAGATTCCTCTGACTGAGGCTCATCAGCATGGACGCTCTGTTTCCCTTTGACCCTGTCTCCGTCCCTCTGACTGTCTTGCTGCTTTAATATCCATGGTTATATACACAAATATTCATTTCCTTATGAACACGTACCTTAAACAAATGTTTTTTTCGTTAAATCCCGCTCTTGGCGGTGGGTTATTTTACTTTTGAAAATAAAGTTGTCAGTGATCTCTGGTGGACAAACTATATAATGAAGATACTGTTTCTACATTTCCCCAATCATATCTTGGGCAATTGTGATCTTTAAATATTTAGTTTTTTGTTAGCCAACATACAAATATACAGATATATCTGGGATAAAGCTCATTACACTTAGAGGCACTAGAGTGTCCTTATTTGGTTTCAAAGTTCTCTTCTGCCTGATGACGTCTTCTCTGTCCTGATAGTGTGTTTGTGTGCGCAGATGGAGCGTCAGATCGTGATGCAGAACCAGATGAGAGAGAGACAGATGGCGATGCAAGTTGCCTGGTCCAGAGAGTTTCTCAAATACTATGGGACTTTCTTTACGTTGGCTACAGTTGGACTAACTGTAGGGTGAGTTTTGTATAAAACAGCTCATAGGTTCAACTCCCAGGTGTTTTGTTCAGGATAAAAGATGCATTTTTTTGTTTCTATCACAAGCATACAGACATCCTGTAATAATGCTTAGTGTGGAGACCTATACCTGGTTGTATATGAAAGCAGTACATTTTCACAGCTTCAATATGAAATTAATCTCCTGACATTGTTCTCAATATATTGTTCTATATTCCTAGGATTTAGTTGATGCAACAACTCCTGTATTACTGTGTTCATGCTAATGCCGTTGGCAGAGGAACATTTATGTAATTGAATATCATTGTGATGCCGTCATAGAAGTTGAAGGCTTTTATTTATCCTACTTCACCTAATAACAGGCGATAATACTAAGAAGTTCTTCCTTTTGTCTCTACGCTTTGCTTCAGTGCCATTAAAAGAAGGAAGCCATTCCTATTGGCTCCCATCGTTCCTCTGGGCTTCATAATGGCCTACCAGGTGGACAGTGCCTATGGGACATTTATTTATCGAGTGAGAGGTAGGACTACGCCTTTATCTTCTTCAAATCCATTACATTTCATCCACATTTAACAACAATCAAGAGACCTCTTGCACTGATATACACAATGTACAAAATGTTATTAGAAATACCTTTATTACTAAAGTTAAGTGATATTCTGACACACTAATTGCAAATGCATATAAATCTAATTAAATGGTTGGTCAGACATTAGTATATATTATATTTAAACTAATCTGTGTATTCCCAAACTATACTCTCCTCCCATTTAAATCCATTCCCTGACCAGCTGTTTTCCAATAATCCATGTCTTAAAACCTAATTTAGTCGATCCACAATATATACATAAATATCCAGCTATAACAGAAATATAATCATATCATTATTTCCAATCCTCCATTTTTCCCTGCAGATAATTAGCTTCCAAATATAATGAATGAATTTATAAAAAAAAAGACCGTAACGCAACTCTTGAACGTGTAGGACAAAAATAGTTGTTTTAACACCCATTTGCAACAATACCACACATTGTGTTTTCTGTATCCGTTGTACCCTCTTCAGGGGAGGCTGAGAGTATCATGACGTCTGACCACGACCGCCTGGACTTGCCTCATGGGACTCCAACTTTCGAAAGCATAGAGAAAGCTCGCCGCGCTAGAAGCAACCTCGCCTCCTTCCTGGAGAAATGAAGTGTTGTTTATCTTTACAACACATCATCCACGTCCAGTCGATGCATTCACCATTCTGCTTTATGCTGCTTTGACATTATTGAGTCTATGGTTTGCACTAATTCTATATCATGGACCTTGATACTGCCAATTGAACCCTCAGAAGATACAAATGTTTAGAATTATTTTTAAAGATGAAATACTTAATTTTTTCAATTCCAGAAGATATTTAAACCAGCGCAGCTCCATCTCGTTTAAAAATTGCATTATGGGAAAGTCAGTTAGCATGCTGGTCTGGTTTGCCTATATTTTGTCCTTTTTCCATTCTGAAAACACCTAAAGAGCGGCTTAGCCTCAGTTTGTTGTACATCATTTGCACCTGGCAAACATCTTAATATGTTGTGTTTAAGCAAGATGTTTGACCACTAGAGGGCAGAAAATACTTTGTGATATTAAGCTATAGAAATACAATTTGGTTGATTAATTAATTTGCCAGGGCTGGATAATCAAAGCAGCTACAAAGAATAATCAACGCTACCGACATGCGTCCTGAAGATTATTGTTACTTCACACTCTATCACTAAATGGTTTGTTCGTGGTTTCTGAAAAGTTTATTTGCCAATTTCGAATTTGATTGCGAAGAAGCTTTACACCAAAGCTTTAGTTGGCATTGTTGCACCTGTAACTTTTATTTGTATGATCACAACTGTATTCAGTGGATGTAAAATATAACACAGTGCTGATATTTATGAATTGTGCATTTGCCATCATTTTAACTCATGTATGACATCATGGAAACTATTTTTGGTAATCAAATAAAAAGAAATATTGCCAAGACTTTCTCTTCTACAATCATATTTTGTGACATGATGCCAGTTTAAGGCAAGGCTCCAAAGCCAACTATGTATATAACCACCATTAAAGGTCGCCTATTATACAGTTTTTCATCAATATATTATAGGTCTCAGATATATACAAACATGTCTCTGAAGTGTTTGGCTCCAAATACCAAACAGATCATGCATTGCAACATCCCATAATCCCCTCTGTTTCAGCCCTGTTTCAAAAGTGCTGATTCTCTGTCTGTTACTTTAGATGAAAATACGGAGCCACTCCCCACGCCCCTCTGAGAGATATTTCGTTAAAAAATAACACAATGGTGCTCTATGAGGAGATACGGGTGATATGGTTGGGGTGTGTGCAGTGGCGGCGCTAGACTTTTTCGCTGCCCGTCATTTTGACGGACAGGATCGTAACACCGTAACGTCTGTACTCAACTCTGACGAGACGAGACGGGCTTGTGAACTGTCAACGGAGGGAGTGGGGGGGGGGGGCGCACCCTCGTGAACTGTTAGCGCCGTGTTATGCATGCCCACTGCACCTCGCGGGAGCGCGCACAGCGTAAAGCAAAAACTCAGACATTTCAATGATTCGTACGGCAAAGTACGGTTTGGAAACGATATCATTTCCTTTTTGGCGGGCATGCATAACACCGGAGCCTCGCTGCCGGGTAACTTTGGCGCTGTTCTGAGTTTGTTCTAATCTGTCAAAAATGACGGACTGCTTTACGATTTTTCCGTCACTGTTAAAAAATATTCGGTTAACGCGACCACTGGGCGGGTGTTACCTTGGTTGGTTATTGGCTAACGGTTACACAAGCCAAAATCTGATCCGCTCATTTTCAGACAGGTTTTTATATAAATAGATCAGGACAAAAAGTGAGCAATTATTTTTTCCTGAAACTTTCAGAATCTCTTTCCACAGAGGGGACACACGTTTATGTATAAAAGACATGAAAAAGTGGATTTTGCATAATAGGTGACCTTTAACCAAACCCCCCTTTTTTTTATAAAGATGGACATCGTGATAAAGAAGCCTGAATCACAAACGCAACTACATCCTCCTGTTTTGTTCAGCATAAAAGATGATTTTTTGTTTCTATCACAAGCATACAGTACAGACACCCTGTAATAATGCTTAGTGTGGAGACCTATACCTGGTTGTATATGAAAGCTGTACATTTTCACAACTTCAATATTAAATGAATCTCCTGACATTGTTCTCAATATATTGTTCTATATTCCTAGGATTTAGTTGATGCAACAACTCCTGTATTACAAGAGGTGAGGTTTACAAGACATCATGCATGCCTTCGTATTGTTTGTGTCAAAATCGTAACTGCAACTTGCATATGAGTAATGAGCACACTCACACTACAAAAGAATATCGCACTAATGTTATTACAATAAAGAAATAACTCCAAAGTACGTCATTGTCATCAATTTCAATGACGTGAGTGTGAGGGAGGGAGGGAGGGGTTGGGGTTGAACGCAGAGGTTGACGAGTGAACCAGTGAGTAGGTTTCCAGAGAGAACAAAAAGAGGGAAACCAAAGCTCTGCAACACAAGACAGCCAACAGAAGCATCCTTCACAAGTTGAGCATTCGGCTGCTACACACCAGGTTTTGAAACCCTGATCAGATCTGAGGTGGAGCTCTGCTTGACCTACCTGTGCAGCCGGCTCTGTTAGTGACAAGTGAAAATGCTCTGGAGATTGACTCTTGCCCTGGCTGTGGTGTGCGTCGGTGGCATCTGCAACTGTGTGAAGGCGGACACGATGAGCAGACTGCTGATGCCGAGGGACTACGGGGTGAAGCTGTGCGGGAGAGAGTTCATCAGAGCGGTCATCTTCACCTGCGGAGGCTCGCGCTGGAAACGCTCCACAGACGGCTACATAGGTGAGCAACATGCTGCTGGTTCATCAGTGCTCACTAATTGGACAAGTGTTTATCTTAAAAAAAAGTAGTTTTAAAAATGTGAATACAGACCTTAAAGACTTTTCTGAAATATTCTTTAAACCTTTAATGTTGAGACGTGTCTTTAAATATACAGTAGTCTGGTGTATAGTTATAATGTAAGATATTGATTCCTCATTAAGGCTTAAGAAAGAGAATAAGAAAGGGTGCACAGGCAAGGAACTATCATTATTTTGTTCCTACTTTATTTGTAGCGCTCGCATGTTTGTAATTGTAAGTTATATACATCAACAGGTTAGGCTGCAACAGGTTTAAAGAGGCAGCATTTCTCCACACTTTTCAGTTAAACAGACGATATAAAGAGCTTCATGGTCAGCTCATGTTTATTTTTTATTTGACCAATCCTTTAAGCGAGTATAACTATCATTCCTGTCTCCTTAGTTCTACAAAATATCAATTTTCATCATTCTAATCTGTGAATTAGTTTTTAACTATGACCAAAGATGCAGATGACAAGTGATGTGCCTCCATCTTTATCTCCTGCTAATATTGATCAACCCTCTTTGATTCTCCAGCTCCCTTCCATTGGAGTTCCCTCAGTGATGTGACAGTGGGGGACGACCAGCCAGACTGGCAGCCTGGCACAGAGCTTTCAGCAGATAACCCTTCTCCGCTCCTCATCAGCTCCTCTTCCTCCCTGGCGGACCTCCTGGCTCTGTACGCGGCCCGCGGAGAAAGGCAGCAGTCGCCGCCGCCTCTGAGCGACTTCGCCCCTCAGTCGCAGCCTTTCACTGTTTTAGGTGAGCAAGACGGGAACCCAGCCGCAGGGGACTGGCCCGTAGCGAGCAAGAAGAAGAGGAACTTTTCTCTGGGTGTGGCCGGGAAGTGCTGCAGTCAGGGCTGCACCAAGAACGATATCGGACGCTTGTGCTGATTCAGGGAGCAGAGCGGCTGTGACATGAAGGTGTAATGGACAGTGTTGACGTAGGATGTTAAATATGGAGGAGAGAAAGTTCACATCTGCTTTTCATAGGTTTAAGTGACTCTAATATTTTAAAAAACGATATATTTTCTTTACTTTCCTTGTTTGATATTTTGTTCATGATGATCATGTTCTGTAAGTCACCCTTTCAGCATCACTGAAAATAAATTCAAACTGTGTTAATATTAAATATTCAGTCTTACAGTGTCCTTTGTTTATTTGCTGGACCAGGAGAAGCTTCAATTTTTTAGCCTGCGGACCACATGACTAACCTGCATTTATTCTAGCAGCGGGCAATATCACACATTATGTCATTTAGGCTGCGGTGAACTTATTGCTGACATCTGTTCACAACATTACGCCTGCCTGATCGTTTTCTGTTAGCACCCGCAGGACGCTACTGCAGAAAAGTAGATTTCCCTTTATCCTTTGTGACAAAGATGAAACAAACATATACACATTTAACCCAATGCACAAAACCGCACACTTCATCATTCTCTGTGTAATTGTAAAACTCATGTACACAACTTAATAACAAAATGTGATAAGCCACATTTTGATCAAAGAAAAACAATGTTCATGTCCGTAGTACTGCAATATGTTTTTTTTAATACAATTATGTACACACCTGGAATATAATACATATCCATTTTTATAATATTTACATTTATCTATACATGTAATAAATGTAGCTGCATGTTTTCCGTTGGATGACAGAACAAGACTTAATGTCACTGACACTGCACAAAACTCAAAATGAAACAAATGGTAAAAACACCAGTTAAATCTGGTTTAACATTCTTTGTTTTCCTGACAATCTTGTGATAAATACATATTTCACAAAATAATATTTGGTTCACACACCAATGTACAAACATCACAATAAGGGCTTTATGAGGTGGGAAAATAAAGTAATTTTTCCGTCTTGGCAAGATTTAGAAACTGAAGACACAGACTTGACGTAAACAATGTGTGATTGTGGTAGTGCCCGAGGTTAGAGCGCTGGTATGTTTGCAAGTGAGAAAGCGTTGCTCTTTACAATGACTCATTCTCAGGGATGTGAGAGGGCGTCCGTCCGTCCTTTGACATTTTGTGTGCGTGTGTAAGATCTGCCATAAAAAACAACTTCGTTTTTTTCCAAATAAGACAGATGCTGTTCCACAAATTACAATCTGTTCAGGGACTGACTTTGAACAATCCCCTCGTTAAATCAGTACACACACTGATAGATACTGTACAAAAAAAACTTTTAAAACATTCCATTTTTAAAGACACATTTTTTGGCAGACATTGTAAAGCACCTCAGGACACATATTTGACACATTTGACACATTTAACACATTTAACTTATGCACATGCTCCTTAGCCACTTTAAATGGGTGGACAATGATGACAAAAGGTTCTGTATCAACAGACAGACAAAATATCCTTGTAACACTGCAAACATTATACCGTAATTATAAAAAAAAGACATAAACCCATAACTTATTACATCACCCTCATCATTTCCGGTTTCAAAAACAAAGCATTGGACTAACGTTGTATACATTAGTCCATGATCCGACACTTCTCGCTGCCCAGATCTTAAGGAAATCTCTGTAATGCTTTTTGTTTGCATATTGCATGAAGTGATGTAAATAAATAAGTGGATGGTGATTAAGTTCAAATCGCAGGGAAGTTTTAAAGCAGTATGCACAAGTATTTTGAGATCCCATGTCCCTTCTGTGAACCATGTATCATTTTTCCTTGGAATGTCACAACAGACACCAATTTCGTTATCTTGCAAATGCTAAATCTTTTATCAGTGGGCCAGACGCTCAATCAGCATGAAGTTACCTCATTATCCTCGATGTGCAATAAATATCTGTAACAGCAGGAATGTGATTTGTAACCACCTGTAGAGATGTTCATAACTGGTCCCCTTGTGTGCATTAACTAACAAAATGCTGCTTGTTGGTTATTTATATATTTGTGGTACTAATACTGATTTCAAGGCTTAAACATCCAACACAACTTACTTAGACTAGAGAATAACATAAAGAAAATAATGTATGCAATTGTGAATTTTTTTTTAAAGCATCTCATATGTCTTATATTTGGTGTTTAAGTCAGATCTAGTGTAATAATCAACCAGGTTATTTGAACATGTCAAGGTACACTGCTAAGAAAGTAGATACTACCACTCATCATCCCTATTTGAGTAAATGTGAAATAGGCTGTACGTCAGACTGCATCACAGCAGTGAGGTCACAAACACCTTCAGTGAGGATTGACTCCCCAGAGTGGACACCTAAAGGTCAAAGGTTAAGCTGCAATGTGTCTCATCCGTCCTTGTTCTCTCGTACAGTCTCCACACTGTGGATTAATGTCTTGAATGAAGGGCGCAGTCCCGGCTCGCTGCTCCAGCACTCTGTCATCATCTTGTACATCTGAAGGAAGAGCATGGACATTAACACGGGAACAAACAATACATCAAACTGTGTATTTTTCTGTGATGGCTGAGCCTTGTTTGCTCAACTTCAAGATATCATACCAGAAGTACCAACAGTTTTTATTCAAACCAAAACAGAGTACTTTGTAATTGTATAGCTTGTATAGAGTTACTGACCTCCTTCGGACAATTATCAGGAGCAGGCAGCCTGTATCCCTGTTTCAGAAGATCGATCAGATGGTACACGATCATCTGGCCCTGCTTTTCATTTCCCATTTTGTCCATGAACACCTAGAACAGAAAACAAGTGTTGTTATTGTTTGGCTTGAATTAAAACAGCTTGGTAAAATGTCCCAAATGGAAACGACACAATAAAAACGATAAGTGTTTATTGTTTTATTGAGTGCTTAATCAACTGATTTCTCGACAGTCTTAAAATAGCCCAATTAAGTTGAAGGGCTAGAGTAGGAACATTGTGAGATGACTAAAAGGGGGAAATAAGTTTGTCAAACTTAAAACCAAATTTGAAAGAAAGAAGAAGAAGAAGAATATGTAGAGTACCGCCGGTGGGCTGCATCTCTTGTCACTGTAGGTGAAGAGTTCGTAGAGGACAACGCCGAAACTCCAGACGTCTGATCCCACAGAGAACTTGCTCTCTGTCAGCGACTCTGGAGCATACCTGGAAAAAAACCACAAAACATTTGACATACATTAAACATCATTTACTGATGCCTGAACACATTGTTAAACACTCAACACTGTTCATATTTAACAAGCAGAGAGATATAAAGGCATACAAGAAATCCTATGTTTAACACTCATGTGTAAAGATCAGTCATCAAGAGTAACAATACGTACAATAGAAAAAATCATTCTCCTTGAGCCTTTTTCTTCATCGATGTCAACCTAGACTATTATAAATATATTTCCAAGTCTTCCTCACCAGAAGATGGGGCTCTCCCCTGGCTCTCTGACGGTGTAGTACTCCTTGTCGTGCGGCAGCACCTTGGTCAGGCCGAAGTCTCCGATCTTCACCCTCATCTCGCTCTCCACCAGGACGTTCCTCGTGGCCAGGTCTCTGTGGATGTACCGCTTAGTGGCAAGGTAGTCCATGCCCTGTAGTGTGGATATAATCACACAGAGAAAGAGAACTGGTGTTACTTATGAACTTTAAGGAAAACATCTAAATATAATATTGTACAGATTGTGCCTCTTAGAAAGGAACAAACTAAAGAATAAAACATTTGGAACAAAACACATGCATACATATTATACAATATCTATATCCCACCATCTGAGACAACATTGTTGAATGAATACATCGTTCATATTTGAAGGTGTTTATTGTCTTTTTTGTAGATTTACATATATATTATATTTTATTATTCAGGTTGTTGATTTGTAGACCAACATCCGCTCCCTGACCACACCTTCACAGTTTCAGCTCTGCAATAAACGCTCGTACATAATATGCACTAATGAGAGGTAATTATCACAGTATACTCCCTGCCATGATTAATAATGCTCGTATTCAAAAGCTTAGGCCATTGTGTTTGTCAAGGAGAAATACAGCATGAGCTCAAAATAATGATATCTCTTTGTGCTGTAAATGTATTTATACAACAAACATGTATTTATAACACACGTGATCAAACAGGTAACCAAAAGTAAAAAGCAAATGACATTTCTCTAATCAGAGATAGGAGAGTTTGAAAGCATATACAAATAAACTAGCATATTTTCATTTTCAGTTACATTGGAGTGCATCTTAGAAAGACATGATCACCACTTTAAAGTCTGCATCACTGCTTTACAATACCTTGCAGATCTGCGACGTGTAGTGCAGCAGTTTGTTGAAGTCGAAGCGCTCCTTGTGTTTGATGAGGTAATCTCTCAGGCTGCCGTAGGGGAGGTACTCCATGATCAGTCGGAGGTTCTTCCGTCCTGCACAAACAAAGTTAAGTGCGATACTTATAAGAGAATGTATGACGTGTGGAGCAGTGGATCGAAGGCCTATGAGGAAATCTAGATGTATTCATTTAATGGGCTCGGTCACTACACCCTCGGCAGCAACAATTGTACATGAATGAAAATATATAACATAATCTGCCGGGGAAGTGAAACACACTTCCCAGATCTCTGCAAAGAATCAAGATTCATCAGGCAAATGATAAAAGATAAATAAAAGTAACATTGTGGAAGGAAATATCAAAGACTTAATTGTGGGGGGCTAAACTGATAAAGTATATCATTTAATTTGATAAATGTTTGAATGTCTTTTTCATAAGAAAACATTATTATGTTTGAATATCCTTTTTTGAACAGCAAATGTCCTCTTATCCCTTTATCCATCTTAGAAACACTCATGATAAATAATAAGAATAAGGCAGACTAAATTGAGCATTTATTTTGATTACTGTCATATGTTAATTTGAAACACAAACAGGTCAATAGATTTAAAACAATGACAGGGAAAGGATGCATAACCCCACCTTTTATTGTGACTTTCTATCTCCTAATACATTTGTTTCGCGTCAGACAGCTCGTACCTGCACTGTAGCAGACTCCTTTGTATTTCACGATGTTCTCATGCTGGAGGGATTTGAGGATCTCGATTTCCCGCTCAAAGTCCCTGAGGTGCTCCGCCGTGCTGTGCTGCAGCTTCTTCACGGCCACCACCTCCCCCGTGCTGTCCTGCAGGGGGTCGTACCGGCACATCTCCACGCTGCCAAAGTTTCCCTGCAGAGCAGATTTAAGAGGTTTAGAAACAGCAGACAGGAGTTCAAGCAGACATTAAATGATATTTTCTAATGTAGCAAAGTCTTATCAACTGGGATGCTATCAGCGAGGTAACCTTATCTCAAGAAGAGACTAGTATGGCAGTCAAAATGAAACAAAAAAGGAGTGTCATACAAAAAGAAAATGACTAATACAAATACACTGTGTGAGCGTTCCTCACTTTGCCCAGCTGCTTGAGAAAGATGAGGTGTCTCTCCTCAAACTGGGCGGGCTCGTGGTTCTCTGAGGCCCACGGGAGGCCGCAGCCTCGAGTCCTGTTGGGCACCATGTCGCTCTCCACCAGCAGCTCGTAGTCTGGAAGAGAAAAGGGGTTGAATAAAACAAATCTAGATCAAACCAGAGATGAAGAGTGTTCTTATAGCACATCCACGTGATTTACCCGGAGTGAAGAGGCTGTTGAGATCTCTGATAATGGCTTTGAAGGAGGGTCGGTGCGACGGCTCGTAGTCCATACAGCTGTTGATCAGATTGGCCAGCTCCGTCCATTTAGGAGCCGGCAGCTGGTGCCTGTCCTCATAGAACAAGTTCTTCTGCAGAGCAAACATTTGAAGTTTTCAATCTGGAAATGATAAAGCTACAGCAGACATTTATTAAAATAATCTATTTGTTTAAAATCCCTGAGTCTCTCTTACTTTAAAACTAATTGCGTGAGATAAAATAGTTGGATAT